TCTCTCTTTGTCATTTAAGCACACCCGTTGCCATGGCAACCTCCTGCACTCCACAAGCCGACCAGAGATTACGTTAAAAAGGTAACATTCATTCCTTTACGATATTAGGTTTGCAGGCTTGATATTTATTTTGCAATCATTAATAAGCCTCCCTGAACACAGCGGTGGTTGATTAGTTCATTTTAAACTCCTGCTCTGCTCGTTATTTTGGTAATGGAACCGAAACGCACAGAATTGTGCAACACCTTGTTGAAACAATAACACTGAGATTATTATTGTTGTTGGGTCATTAATTTGAACACGTTTTGTTGATGTTTTTTTAAATAAAGTTTCGGACATTTTAAGCCAGTCAGAGGAGGACTTGCTGGTCTCAGCGTCCTGGCGGCGTTCAGGACGTATTGCGCCCCTGCTGTAGCAAAGCACGAACAGTTCAGAAACAATATGAAATGGGAAAAAAGTTATTTATTAACTGATTAAGTCATGTTTTAGATTGTTCTGGAAAAACTAATCAGTCACGGCTGATTAGTGGGCGCACTCATGGCTGCACAGTGAACCCGTTGATTTTTTTTTTTACAGCAGACAGTCGCTCCCCTCTCTTGCAGGTACTGCGTACCCCGGCTAAATCTTTTAGGAGCACGCAGTACCCTACGGTACCCCCTTACAGATGTAAGAGCATCCACATCTTGAAAAAACGTTCACTTTTGTCTCGTATTTTCGCTTGGTGATGGGACACAAATAAAGTCAGCCGGACTGGACAGTTCTCTTATTTGATGCCCTCCATGTGGAAACAGAACGGGTTGCACACTTGAGTTCTGAGTTGCAAGTATTAAAATTTGAGTAGAGTTGGAGGAGAACTTTGCCCAGAAAAGAGTGAATGGGTATAATTTTGTAGGAGAGTAATTACTCTATTAATTAATCTTTAATGAAGAGAGACTGATGTATGTCCACAGGGGTATGATGACAAAAAAAGTAAATGATGTTTAAAATGATGGTCCAACTTATTTGATCTATGATTCATCTTAAAGAGATAGTTTGTAATGACTTTAATTTACTCATTTGCATGTACTTTTAAGCTATGCTGTGTAATTCAATGAGTAAGTAAATATTCAGTAGACAGTATTAGTGGCAGTTGTATCCGCTGTACTGCAGTACAACCATGCATTATCTACTGTACATATTGGCTTTGACAACTTCTTGATGATTGATTTGAAAATGCATGAGATGCACTGATTTGAATTTTTTAAATGTTATTCTTAATGTTTTAAACATATAATTTGTTAGTTAAAAGTACCAGAATTAGAACTTTTTTGTGCGATTTCATAATTTACTCACAACACGGCTTGTGCAAATGTTGCAGAACTTCACAGTTCAAACTGTTAGAACCTCCAACCTTTATCAAATATGATCCTCAGCTTTATTAGTACTTCAACATATTTACTTTTGAAAATATAGTTGGTGGTGTAATTGCTGCATCACGTGGCTGCATCTTAACGCGTTTCTGACCCGCATCTTGTCTGCCAGCTCACTGCAGAGCGTCCTTTTCCTGTCAAGTCTTTCCCTCTAAACAAACAATTGATACCGACACCTCTTGCACACCGTTGTCTGGAAATGATTTGATTCACTTCAGGCAGAGAATGGCAGCACACACGGATCCACGTTTACATCCACATCCTGCGCCAAATTAATTTCATTTGAGCAACACGACACAAAGGATGTTTTTGTGACTTACTCAAACAATCTCATGAGTCGTGGTTTCAATTTTATTAAAAATAAATGCAGTTGATTTAAAATTAGTAGAAATGTCCAATTATTTTTAATAAAAAAAAAAGAAGAAAATGCAACGGTCATGTTTAGTATAAAGGAAGATTAGCTGTACCTTTGTTTGTGCTGCTTAGTTTGTGATTTCTATAAACTCCAACTAATACTTTTGTTGACCAACATTTATCATCTAAGGTTACGTATTCTGTAGAAGTGTTCAAACAGCTCTACTTTCTTTATACCGTCCATCCAAGAAGGTACTTGCCCGCCACTTATTCAAGGTTTTTGAAGTTTGTTGTGAACTTAACAGATTTTTTTTTCTACAAAAGGATTTAGTAAAGACTTGACTCAAGTCTTTACTAGATTCTTTTTTGCTAAGAACCAACTCTTTGTTGTTAAAGAATCGTTTCCAAGTCTCACCTATGAATATATTATGAATGTGTCATAGGTGAGACTTAGGTAGCCTAAACCTAAAATAATGATCTTATATAGAAGAAAGATAAATGAAAGTTTACCTTTAAAGTTTAAAGTTTACAAAAAACTTTGAATACCTGAAGCAAAAATATTTTAAAAATCATTAAAGACTTTTGGCTTATTTGCTCTGCTGGAGACTGTGTCAACATAATTCTGGACTAGATGAGTGACAAGGAGCTTGATGTTTGATTAAGACAATGCTGCCTTTGTGATAAGATCAGATGACCATACTGACAATATTTATCATCTTGGCATCTCACCAGTAGTCATCAAAAGGTGTTATCAAAACAATGGGCAATATTAATATAAAAGAGCCTCTGCTTCAGCCTCGCTATTCTCTGCTTTGAGACAACAAGCCCACAGTGGCAAGCATGAAGTGGGCTGTGGTGTGGTTGTGTTTCCTCAGTTTTGCTGTTGAACTCCAGGCACTGGGTAAGACTGACATCTTTTAAAATCTGACTGCATGGCTGTTTCTGAAATTCATTATATGTTGTTTGTAAATCATGTCCAATGAGTTCTGGCATTTTAAATCTCTTTTTCCCAAAGATAATTACAGTTTAAAACTTAATGTGTAGACATAAAGAGATAACCGTGTTTTCTTTTTGTGTGTGTGTGTGTGTGTTTTACCGTTCTAGCTGACAACCATGTCAACAACATCTGCAGCACTTGGGGCACGCAGCACTTTAAGACCTTTGATGGTGATGTGTTCCAGTTTCCTGGCCTGTGTGAGTACAACCTGGTCAAAGGCTGCCGCAAGTCCGAGAATAAGTTTTCTGTGGACATTAGACGAGAAGAAAATGATGGAAACATTACAATAAGTTATGTTGTGGTCACCATCTCTGAAAACACATTCAACCTGACCAAGACTGAGGTCGCTGAAAACGAGAATCCGTAAGTAAAAGACACACATGCAACAACTATACCCCAATTAAGATATTTTACACTGTGTTTGTCATTTAAATCTTCAAACTTATATTCTCTTTTATCAGAGTCACTCTGCCGCACTACAGTGGCGGAGTAAAGGTGGAAGAAAGTACATTTTACATCAGGCTTCGAGCGACCAAAGTCGGCATTATAGTCATGTGGAACCGTGAAGACGCAGTCATGGTATACATCTTTTTGTTTCTGCCTTCCTTTGAGTCAATTTTTGTTTTCCAAATCAATAAATCACATCAACTGACTGATTACGTATAGAGGTCCGGCTTAAAATAAATACATTAGCTCTCCCTGTTGGATGAAACAATTGGAGATACAGTAAATCTCTGCTGAGAGGAAATTATGAGATGATAAAAAACTTTTTGGATTGTTGGAAACGTTGGACTTTAACTTAACTGTAACTTTTAAAACTTTTTGACATTATAGGCACTGTGAAAGAACAGAGAGTGACATTTTATTTCTGATATGAATGATGAAAAATAATGTGAAACATGATCCTCTCTGTTTTGTGCTTCAGGTGGAAGTTTCAAACAGATACCAGAACCAAACTTGTGGCCTTTGTGGAGATTACAACGGCGTTCCTGTCTATGATGAGTTCATGGATAAGGGTTTGTAGTTCAATGAAATGTGTAAAATGTATTAGAAAATGAAATAAAATCAGTCACATCTTTAATGTTCTTTACTTCATCTGCATGATCAGGTTTTAAAATGACCCCCACTGAGTTTGGAATCAAACACAGAGTCCATCTGCCAAACGATGAATGCAAAGACCCTCATGTAGAAGATGATGAATCAAAGACAAACGTGTCAGATTCATGCAAAGCATTTGTAAGTTTAACTCACCCAGTTTTCCACTAAAAATGTTAAGTAATAACATGGTGACTTTTTGAATTTCATAATTGTTTTCTCACTACAGCAAACCATCTGTGAACAAATATTTCATGGGGATTCCTGGAGTTCATGCGCCGCCCTGATTAGTGCTGAAGCTTTCATCCAGGCATGCGTGGTAGACATGTGTGCCTGTAACAACGGTACCAGTGACTTGTGTGTCTGCAGCACAATGTCTGAGTTTTCTCGTCAGTGTTCGCACGCAGGAGGACAACCACCCAACTGGAGGAGGCCTGATTTCTGTGGTATGATTCATGTTTGTCTCTTTATTCTAATTCACAGAATAACGAGTACAGGAAGAAATATTACAGAACCAAACCACAAAAGATAATGTTTATCATTTCGAAGGATGACAATGTCATTTCAGTCTTTCTCAGTTTCTGTTTAAAATTGTGGTTAAGTGCTATAAAGGTTAAAGCCCGTCAGATTGTCATATATTTTATACAGTGTTAAATATATTAAAAATCTATGCATAGCATTCAAATTTGCCCGAAGTGACATCAAATTTTATTTAAAAAAAATTCCTGCATGATATTCTGCCTAAATGCTTCTATGCTTCTTACTACTGCTCTTTATTTATGGCCCCATCTATCATCACAGGTAAACAGTGTCCCTACAACATGAGGTATGAAGAAAGTGCTTTTCCTTGCATGGATACTTGCACACATCAGGACACCAGATTAGTGTGTGAGGACCACAAAACAGACGGCTGCTTTTGTCCTCCCGGTTAGTTCTCTTCACATGTAAAATGTGTATTTTGTCATTGTTAATTCACCTTCACACAATGAAACTGTTTTTCTCTCAGGAACGGTGTTTGATGATATTTCTGAGAGGGGCTGCATCCCTCGGTCTGAGTGTCAGTGCAAGCATGACAGAATCTACGACTCTGGAGAGGTTTACCGTCACGAAAAAACAAACTGGTATGTTTCAAGATGTCTACCGAATGTCTTCTTGGTGGTAAATTTAGCTTTTTTGTTACAGCGCTGGCAGAATTCCATAAAACATACATTAAAACAATAAATCTTAATGTATTTTATTGGTATTTCATACAATAAACCAAGGCAAACTTGCATAATTTTGAAATGGATGAAAACTTACAGAATTTATCACATATTCAAAAGTAAAGTTGTACTCAGCTCACTTTACACTTGTACCTGTTTCTAGCTTGGTACATCAAGAGACTGATGTCTAATTTTTTTCTGTCCATGCTAAACAAAAGTTTCCCCATAGCATGATTCAGTATGATGTGAAGAGTTTGCTCTATGAAAACTATGTAGCTTTGCTACTTGTACAACATTTTTAAACTGTTATTTTTCTTCCACTTCACAATAATCTCCTGATTTGTGTTGGTCTACTTAGAAAATGTAAATAAGTGTAATGCAGATTTGTGTTTTTCAGTACTTGTTCAGAGGGGAAGTGGGAGTGTGAGACTTTCGAGAGACCGGCTACATGTGCAGTTGAGGAAGGTTCACATTTCACAACATTTGATGGTACAACATATGCCTTTCATGGAAATTGTATTTATACCCTGGCCAAGGTGGAGAGCAAGGTAAATAGTGTGTCATTTTTTATTGTTGATAAATAATACAAACCAGACATGAAAGTGAAGATTTTTGACCAACTTGTGCTCAAACGTTTTATATATTTTAGGATGGAGTAAGTCCAAACTTTACTATTCGGGCCCATTTGGGACAATGTGGAGAAAAACAAAATGATATTTGTCTAAAGGCTCTTAAAATCCATCTGGGCACAGATAATGTGAGTAAAATACAGATGTTAGTATTTATATTCTCAGTTCACACTAATATCTACAGATCACTCATAATTGGTTCTGTCTTTCTACAGGTATTAATGTTTACATCTGAGGGAAAAGTTCAACAGAATATGGAGGACATCAGTTTGCCATATTACTCAGGTGGGTCTGATGAGAAGCAAGCTTTAATTGAGCTCCTTTTTTCAGGAATGGACTTTCTATTTGTGTAACATCAGGTGATTTTTCTGACATTATTTACAGGGGACATCAGAATATTTCATGCTTCATCCTTTCATATCTTGCTCAACGCCAAGTTTGGCCTCCAAATTCAGATCCAGCGTGTTCCTGTGATGCAAGTCTACATCAGTCTGGAAAGCAGCTACAAAGAAAAGACAAGTGGTGAGTTTTATGTTTTCCTCTAATTTAGCCAACTTCCTTTATAGACCATATGCTATATGATAATCAGAACCACACAGGGTTCTTATGCAGTTAGGAATTACATGGGAAAGAGTAGCATTTCATTTCAGTGTTTAAAGATTGTGGGAATGTATGGAAAAAATAGAAGGATTGAAAAATATTTGCAGACTTTATTCTTTCATAATTTTTTTTCTTGTGCTCCTTCTTCCTTTTCTGCCTCTGTCCTATCTTTATTACGACTTCATTTCTTACCTTCTTGGGTCTATCCTTCCTTTGTCTCATTTCCTCTGTCCTTCTATGCTTTCTTCTTCTTTCCTTGCTTTTGTCATTCCTTCCTTCATTGTTTCCACCTTTTTTGATGTACCACTATCATTCTTTCCAGGTGTAATAATATCAAGCATCTTTTCACAGTGATGTAAATTAGCAGTGCAAATTAAAACAGATTAGAGTGAAAAAAAATTATATTTTTTGCAAACTACTGTTATGTTGAGGGTTCCGTTTATGTGTCCCACTTCAAAAGCGTTGGTGGCAAAAAAACTGGATATGACGATCCGGGCCTTGAGATTAATATATGTGAACTAGAATGTACCTTATCTGTTTGTCAATCTGTCAAAAATATAGACTAATAAAATGGTATATTTATTACACTGCTAAAATAAGACAAAACAAGTACAGTAATTAACATTCATAACTATGTTATTTGAAAAATTATTGTGAAATTAATAAAATATATTTCACAGTAGAGGTAATGCAACCCGAAACACATGAAAAACCTCAAGAATCAAACGTTCAAGACAAAAAATAAAGACATTTTCCCCCAGTTTGGATACTTCAGAGACTAAGCAGTTGTTGTTCTGAACATGTTTCTCAGGTTTATGTGGAAACTACAACATGGCTTTGAATGATGATATGAAGACTCCTCAAGGGTGCCAAGAAGGAACTGCATTAACTTTTGGTAACTCTTGGAAGGCCGACCACACATGCCCAGATGCAAGCAAAGAACTTGATAGCCCCTGTTCCATCAGCATGGAAACTGGTAAAAAGAAAAAATTTAACAATTGTTTTTGTTTTTTTTAATCAAATGAAAACCATTGTACTATTCTATTTAACAGTAAAGCTTTTCTTTTGCTTTATGAGTATATATA